ACCATCACAAATTACAATAATTGACTTTCAATATAACACCATACGACAGATCCGATCGCGAGTTCAAATGTAGATGAAATCCAAACATTTATATTCAACTACTTCCAATATGTAATGTGGAACATTGCGACACTGGTGTCAGTTCCGTGATGAGATACTTCACCGCACTAATACAGTAAAGTGGCAGTTCACCACACTAGATAATAATAATCAAAATGCCAGTTTTTCGCTAACAAAAAGTATTGATAATCAATAATTGATCATGTATATAGCAAAAAATTTAGTTTGAATTGCTTCTCTTGCCGTAATTTCTATATCTGAATCTATAGTCTCATGATCGAAATTCTTGTCCAAACATTCTCCTTAAATTGAAATGAATGTGTCAAAATTGACAATTTGCAGAATAGGAACCAAGATCACAATGAATTCACGCCTCACCCTTGCAACGGTTTCTTTTAACATAGGTAAAACTACCAATTATTGGCACCCTTAAGCATGTGCTCTCATTAAGAAGCTCATCAAAACTAAATGTATTGGAGAAATGATTCAATTGAATATTTATATGAATGACTGATGGTTACTGAATGTTGGAATGACCATTACACCGTAGTTGAACTTCCCTTCCGAATTTTATAGGAGTTGATTTGATGAAATAACTCTAATGCAGTGATTGGCATACTTTCTGGTATAATTGGCACATGAATCATTGGCACATTCGAATCATTGGCACATGAATTAATGGCATATTTGAGTCTTCCGAAATGAAAATGTTCATTTTCTTCCGTCCATTAATTTCCATATGTGTACGAAAAATAATAGGAAGGTAGGTAGGTACCGTCTGTTTGAATTATTGGCATATTTGAATGAAAAGCACATGAGCAAATGAGTCGCTATCTAGAAGTGAATGTCTTTCAAAATAAAAACGTTCATTTTCTGAAATATATTCTTACAAATAAAACTACAGTTTGAATTATGTTTTTCCAGAACAAACAGAACATATGAAATTTTTCACATTTATATTTCTTCTTTCCAAGCAAAGCTTGTGATATTGGCGGCCATAACATTTCAAGCATCTTACACCATTCTTTCCTCTGGTAATGTTCATCGTGCAAAGAAAACATAATCCAGTCTCAACTATATTATCATCAAAAATTGTATTCTCCTGTTTTTCATGAAAAATATTCCTAACAGCAGTTTTCTGACTAGGTTTTAACTTGATATCTGGAATTATAATAGGCTGTTGGGTTTCAGCTGGTTCAAAATACATCTGGGTGTTTTTTGAAGCGTGCAATATCGAATCATCCTTCCTAGGACCAGTATTGGCGTTCTTATCATTCTTGGTTCTCGGTGCTTTCTTTTTCGATTTGGAATGTTCTGTCAATATTTTTTTCTTCAATCTCTCTAATCTCCTAGATTCTTTAGCGAGTTCTTCTTTCGCTTTTTTTTCTTGTTTCTCTGTATAAATTTTTATCCAACCCGTTGATACTAGAACGAATGGCATCCTCTCAGTTGTTTTATTTCCTTTTCGTGTCGGTGTTTCTGGCCACCGGAGGGATTTCTCAAGCGAACATTGCTCTTCTGGTACATCGATGTTTTCTTTATCAAGCTCTTCTTCATGCCCTCGATCTCGCTGAATCTGATTGTGTTCTGAAGAAGCTAAATCTTCGTAGTCATTGCTATTCTTGTCAGTGTCATTGTTTGGAGTAATCATGGTTTCTTCGATAATAATATCATTATTTTGCGTATGATCATCATAAATGCTGCCCAAATTGTCTTCAAAAACTATGGGAATGTCATTTATATCAAATTCAAGAGTTTCATCATATAGGTACCTCATTCAAATTTTCTTCTATCAGTTTCGGCTCATCTTCATTTCCGATATAGCAATTGGGGAGACTCGATTCATCATCGGGCTTATATTCCAACCAAAGTTGATGAAGCAATTGAAAATATTCATTCATTTCATGAGTATCATCGCGATTTTGGAATTTGCGAATATTTGTTTGACCGACCATATCACAAAATGTTTTATGAGACAAACCATCTCTCTTTTCATCAGAGCTGAGATCGTATGATTTAACAGTGCTTTCATCAGGATGTTTCGATCTGCCGAGGCATTTCGTAAAGTCAATTGCTTCAACGTTAAAAGGATACAAACCAGTGGTTCGAAATCCATTTATTATGCTGGATCTGTTAATATTATCTACAACAGTTTTAAAAATTGGAGCAAAATGTTCTTTGGTCAACTGCAGGGAAAGTGGATTCTCATATCTCCAGTTCAATACCGCGCGTTTCCAAGCGTTCTTGATTGGCTTGAAAGCTCCAACATCTGCAGGTTGTAACAATCTGGTCGCATTTGGATACAATGCTATCAGAATGATTTGTAACCCTCTGCACAATTCACTCAGTTGATAGGTCAAGTGTGTTTTATGGCCATCAACATATAGTATGACTGGAAAAGACACTCCCTTTTTAACAAGGTATGGGTGGAATACTTCACTAATATATTCATAGAATATTTCTGATTTCATCCAACCGTTTTCACTCAATCCTATACCCCAATCTTCGGGAACAGATTCAAGAAAAGCTTTTGGTAATCTTTTATATGGGTAAATTATCATGGGAGGTGTAGTATCTCCGGCAGCCGAGAAGGTGAACATAACAGTCAAATTAGATTTAGCTGCAGCTCTGTCAACCTCATAAACATTTGCCGAACCTTTCGTTGCTACAACTTTCTTTGTTTTTGGCCCTAAGAGAAAACACGTCTCATCTCCATTATAGATCCGATCAGGGAAGTTTATAAAGAAAGAGTAACCTTTTTCATGTAGATAATTTTCGATTTCTTTGAACCATTTTCGTGAATCATTTCCAGAAATATTCGCACTGGCTTGAGTTACTGCTTCTGACATTCTCTCAACCATATTATGGCGTTGCAGGAATGATTTATACCAGTGATTTCCTGGAGTATTATTCTTGAGAATAGTTTTTCTCTTACTTTTGTTGAGAAATTCTTTGATCGATTGTTGTATATCTTCTTTCCGCCTTGGAAAGCCTTTACGTTGATTATCATTTATCCACTTAACAAGTAGTTCCTCTTCGCTTGTACTCAGAACTGTTTCAGGTCCATGACGAATTTTTTTTGAATCTCTCCGACATTCTGAATTGTCATGTTGCTCGTGGAATTCTATATGTTTTGGCAGCTTGTTTTTTAGACATTTCCTCCTTAATGGCTTCAAGAGCTCTAGTGATTTCAGGCTCTGAATATTTCTTCTTGTAGACATATCCTTTCTTTACTTTCGGCATTTTTGAAAATCCTAAAAATGATGGGTATACTTAAGTTTTTTAAAATTTCAAGAGAAGCACACATTATTTTTTGAATTTATTCACAGAAAATAAATAAGTTGGTAACGTGATAACATATGAACCTATGCGAGAAAATAATTAGGTCCATGTTTATTGCATATCATAATAGTACCTACAATGTATCCAAGCAAATAAATCGCCTAAACTCCAGGAAACTTCACAAGTGACTGCAGCAAAATTTGAATTGATTGTTATGTTCAACTCCAGGGCAGATGATTTACTCTTAGTGAAGATTTCCAAAAACTATTTACGATTCAATTTCTGGAGTTCAGGGGATGGAGATGTGAAAATACTTGGATGAAAAAAAAAAAGATTGAAAAATTATCAATGATATCATAACTTAGGAATTGCTGTCTTTCAGTGTGTCTGAAGTCTTGAGATTCTTCTATTTTTTGAGAATCTTGATATTTGACCCCTCTGTACTGATGATGCACAATAAGTCTGAAACACAGGCGGCTGAAGGGAAGGGAAATTAACAAAAAATTGTTATTTCAATATTCATGTAGAGTTTTTTGAGATTGAACTATATAATCAACAATATAGGTAATTGATATTAATTTATTGGTTTTTATCCATTCATGCAAAATTACTTATACAAAATTTAAAACAATAATTCTGATTGTGACACAAGTAATGCCAATGATAAGAATTGGTTTTACCTATTATTGGCACCCTGTGTGTGTACTAGATTTCAACGCTTTATGGAACCCAATTGTTGGCACACTGAAAATCATGCCGGCAGTTGAATAATATCACTGCAAAACGTTGGAGACAATGCATTAATCCTTATAATAACGATTTGAACTAATAAAGTCTACTGGTCATCTAATATTATGCAAACAGGATTTCATAAAAAACATACTCACCTTAAGAATTTCACTAGTTTCACACTACTTTTGAGGAGAGGAATTTTGTGAAATGCATATCTAGGTTCATACCACACAGACCAACACGAAATGGCGGGAGGAATTGAAGCGGTGTTTGCTGTTCCAACAAAGGAAAGTAGTTTCGATCATATTTGAGGCTGAACCATAGTATTGATGAAAATATGTGCAGGTGCCAATAACAGGTAGGGGTGTCAAGAATTGGGTATTTTACCTATTCCCAATAAATCGTTAATTCAAGTAATATCAACTATTCTCGACTGAATAATCACCGTTGTTGATAGTAGGTGGAATATTGTACTATATTCGTATCGTAAATTCATATTACGATGATCGATGGGTTTTTATCAAACTGGGCCTTCGACCTTGTTCGACAAATTTTCCATTACTTACATATCCCGATATGTGTCTTCACGATACTTGCATCGTGAATATCTAATAAGTTATTATCATTACGTATTTGTATAAACTAACGTATTGACTCATATTATTCATCAAGAAAAGGTGAGCTTGCAAGTTAAAGTAACAACACAACCAAATTCAAATCTTGTTTGTTTTCCTGAATGAAACTAGCACTGCTCATTTTATCACTTGACTGTAATGTGTTTCATTTTATTTTTATACGTCAACTCTTGAATTTGGTATATTCGGAAAATCTTTTTGAAGAAAAAACTGTTCATCAAATTAAGTTTCAGCAATGGTGGTGACTGATGCATTACGAACGTATTAATTATAGTGTAGGTAAGCACTTACCTTCAATCTAGCATCCAAGACTTGTTTATATTTCTTGACAGTTGTATCTCTCAGATGGGGCGGTGGTTTATAATCATCGCTATTCTTCAGTTTATAATCTCCGATACTGTTTCTAGCCTCCATGAGCAATTTTTCATCGTCCGGGTGATTTTTACCAGGAATTGGTTTTTTTGACATGAATTGGTCCCACTGGAATCATACGCGTACCTATTCATTGATTATATAACTATATAGGTTCCCAAAGAAGAATGCATACAAGACAGAAGACACAGAATCAATGTGCTGTGTATTACATTCATTATGAGTTCTTCAATATGAAACATACAGTATAGTCAATTTTGAACTTCTGTTATTAGTTAACTATCAATTCCGTTCATCTTTGGTAGAATTCCATATTGCTCAAAGTGGAGTGAAATATTTCACAGGAAGAAAGGGATGCTGGAAGTCATCTCCACAAATTTTAATGATGTTACATAATCATAAGGGACATGTTTTGGTCTTATAAAAAACTATCTTCAGCCTGATTGGAAGGTCTACAATACAAAAACGGAATTATATTTGATGTGAAAGAGTTACCTAGTTTGTGCTTGACTCACTTGGAGTTGGAAAAATTTTCGATGCTACTGTTTCTTGAACTGTTGTTGATGCCCATAGCCAAGAATTCAATTTTCATTATGCAAAGCGAGGCGTTTGATTGTGTTTCACATAAAATTCTATAGCGCAAACTGAAATTCTACCACTTCTAAGCAGATATTTCAACCCATCTCAAGTCTTACCTGACAAATCTCAAACAAACTGTAAAAGTGAATAGTGTTTCATTAGTACTTGGGGACATCACAATCGGGGTGCCCCAAGGTTCAGTCTTGGGGCCCGTATTGTTCCTGATATATATATGGATGACTTGCCTTCTATAGAGCCAGAAGCTAAATTCACACTATTTGCGGATGATATGACGGTGGCCATATCAGCCAATACACTAGAAGAGGCTTTAAGGAATATAGAAGATATTCGAAATAATATCCAGAATTGGTTTAACGCCAAACAAACTCTAACTTGACAGCGGAAAGGCGAATGGGATCATTTTCCAACTAGGGACATAAATGTGACGAACAGTGACGTGAGTAGTTTGAAATTTTTGGGAGTACAGATTGACCCACTGCTGCAATGGGGTGTGCATATGGAAGAGGTGCAGGCAAATTGAGGAGTGGATTGTTTGCTCTTCGCTGTCTAGCCGGCCAGCGTAGCCTCGTGGTTATATAAGGCGTCAATGTTCTATCCACGTTGGATTACCGGTAGTGGGTTCGATTCCCACCACGACCGCAGACATTTTTCTGGTGGCCTAAGAAAGTGTTTGGGATCACTCGTTAAAAGGTGAGACCCCAGTCATTCCTTGTTCTCACAAGTCTCTTTGAGACTTCTGAGGGTTGCTCGTGAGGAGGCAACCGAATGATGGATAAGAACAAACGAGAATGTCTTTTATTCTTCATCGAGGACAGCGTACTTTGGAATGTTTTATTCTTTGATGTGCAGTACGACATTGGTATGGGGCCACGTACCACAATCGAAGAGAATTTTCGCATTGCGAAATATGAATGATTGCCGTGAGGTATCTGGTGAGCTTGGTTTTTTTGACATTGCCATGTGTGAACATAATCGAATGCCTGATATATGTTTACAAAAATGGAATTTTATATAGGACTCTTCCTGAAATTTACGATATCCAGACAAGAGAAAGTGAAAGGTTAATACTAGTTCATCAGCGTCTAACGAGGTGTCAAGACGGCCCTGGGTGATTGGCAGTAGGTTTTCACAATGAAACTCCTAATAATGTGATAAACTCCCAAACTCGCTGTTTCGGAACCGGTTGGGCGGGTCGAGTCTCATCCTCGAAGACATAAACAGAAATTTTTGGAGCGATAGCACGTGGTGGGATGAGAACTGTTATTCTGTACGAATACAGGGTGTATCCAGTTTTTGATGCTTCTGCACGATCTCAGTCTGGCTGAATTTGTACGGAAATGATATCTTCTCGCCACTTTCAAGGGCCTGAGATTACTCTTTACAGAGTTTTGAAAGAATTGAGAATGTCAACTGAGATACTATATTCATTTAATCATGTAGTAATTTCAGTACCCACATTTTTTTTCTCTCCCAAAATTTTCACTATTCGCTGAGGATGAGCCTGTATTGGCTCGAGACCTGTATGAAGATCTGATTGAGTGATACAATCACTATCAAGATTGCGAAGACGACTTTTTGATCTCTGGTGATGAACAAGAATAAAAAAAATTGTAGATCATGTCGAATTGAATTGGTCACGCAAATTTTTATAGGTATGTGATCATATCAGTAATGTCCGACTCACTACCGACAATAGACATCAAAATCATCAATAATTGTTGGCGATGAGGCAAGACAAAACAACGAGTCTCATGAGGATTATGAACAACTCGCCAAAGAAATCAAAATAAGAAGATGGAAGGAGATGAACTATGATTAACAATGAAGAATAGAATTTTAAATTCTCCTTTGGGGCCAAGTCAGGAGAAAACGAAAGAAATTCAGAATCACAAGGAATTCGACAGTTTTTGACAGTCAAACTGGATTTGTTCATTGAAGGATAAGGATATTCTGTCACTCAACGAATCATATTCAACTTGAATAATGTTGTTATCGAAATAATGAACTGAAAATGTAATACTAACCTCTTCTAAACGTTTGTCCCATTTCTCTCTCCTCTGTCTATACTTCTTCAGCATCCGAGTTAGTCTTGCTCCCAGTCTTCGTTCAATGATTGATGGACTCAAACTCAATAAGAAATATTCCAAGGTCGTAGTTTTCTTCTGTTTTTGTACAGATTGTTTCGAAACGCATTGAACTCTTTCAGGAGGCCTGTGAGATTGAGTATAGATGAAAATAAGTCATTCAGATCAAAAGTGTTGAAAAATCATAGATATTTTCCGCGTCTATTGGGAGACACATTATCGCCGTGAAAATATCAAAAATTCATACAATTAGCATTTCATGCACAAATCTGAATTTGAGCTTGCATTTTTTCATGCATTATCACAGAAGTCAACGTCATCTATGTGATAGGCCAGCTCAGTATTGATCAGAATATAAAAATATGACATCAATGAGGAATCGTGACTTTCACAGATGTTCGGCCCTCCATGAGCGTGATAGTTTCTTCAACAGCACGAACAGCTAATAACAAAAATTTACTCACAACTAGAGCATCAATATATTTTCCTTGAGGTATGACACTATCTCACGAAGGCCTAGAAGGGACACGTAAAATGAAAAAAAAAATTAACTCTTCAAAATTCTGAGTTTCAACTCGGAATTCCAAAATTCCGACTTATATCTCGGAATATTACATCCAAAATTCCGAGTTATAACTCAGAATTTTGAAATTCCGTGTTATTACTCGGAATTTCACATCAAAGTTCCGACTGATTGCTCGGAATTGCGAAATTCCGAGTTATAACTCGGAACTTTGGATATAAAATTCCGACTTATAACTCGGATTTTACATCAAAATTCTGACTTATATTCAGGAATTTTAAAATTCTGAATAACCCGGAATTTTGGATGTGAAATTCCGAGTTATAACTCGGAATTTTGAAATTCTGAGTTATAACTCGGAATTTTGAGTGTAAAATTCCGAGATATAGGTCGGAATTTTAAAATTCCAAGTTATAACTCAGAATTCAGAAGAGTTTTATTTTTTTATTCTATGTGTCCCTTCCAGGGCTTCATACTATCTCACTATCAATTTGTTATTGTACTGTGATCAATGAAAGGATAAGGGAGCTATTCAGGGTTGCGTAACAGTGATTAAAATCTCACAATGTAGAATTTTGTTACTTTCGAGATCAAAAAACTGATCATTGATTATTTATTGTAGATTAACTCATATTTCGCTAACATAGTAACTTCTTCACACACAAATTATTGAGAATATTCACTTGTTTAACTCATTGAGCAAAATATGTTTCATGAATGAATAAAGAGACGAAACGATGTAATCAAACAATAATTTCGGGAAATATCGATTCATGAAGTCCTGGATTTTATTTAGATAATAACTATCAATCAGTGGTGACATCGCGGACATCTTATATCGGCTTCACAACACCAGAACTGTAAGTGTTTCATGTCAAGCAATAGTACATTGTATCACAAGGGCAGTAAAAGAATTTTAGCACTCCGCGCCTATTAGCTGAGGTAGCTAAGGGCTGCTAAAGCGTTTTCTGCATGGGACACACAACTATTTTTTGCCAAAATCACAGAAATTGGAGAAAACAATTATATTATTTCAAACACCAAGGTGGTGAAGGATCCCAGACAGCACAGAATATTCAATGAATATTCTCACAATGTTCAAATATACTTATTTCAGAATATTCTTATAGAATGATCATAGAATATTCTCATCCTGCAGCGAATTTTCTATAAACATTCAATTTGACATATTCTCAGAATATTCAGAATCGTATAAAAATAAATGATATTGATGGTCCTATTCTTGTATCGACATTCATAATGTTCGCCCTGAAATAACCCATTATTATCTAGCCTTAATGCTGATTATCCCACTAATTCAGTGTTGTCATCTTGCTATTCATAGTATTAATCAATGAGGTTCGCATCTCCACCGGAGCAAGCTTATTTTAATTTTCTTCATCCTCAGAATATTCGAAACAGTCCATTCCGAATATTCAAAAAACATCGCTAGGATATAAGTATCATATTGTGACAATATCCTAAGAATATTCAAATATTCTCGAAGAATATTCAATGAACGTTCTATGAATGACATTGTGCTGTCTGGGATATCTGTATTACCTAGGGACCAAGGTGAGGTCACGAGGCTCCAGCCGAGGGGTATAAGGTCCCTTGGTAATGATATTTTTTTTACTACCAAGGTGGATATTGAATTTTTTCCACCACTTGCGAATATTTCAATCATCAGTTCTGTTGAACTGAAATATGGACGTATTGTCACTGTGAAACCACTTATGTTAAATCCGAATTGGAATCTAGCAGTCATGATAGCATATGACAAGTCGTTATAGTCTAAGAGCTAGGAATGCGACATGCCTCGGTACATGAAAAATTTTACCTGGAAAAGGTTCGATTGGTGCTGGCAGAGCGAAAGCCCGACCGACAGAAGGCGCGCTGGAAGCTAAGTGCGTGGGGGGGCGATCAAACGCCAAATTTTCCAATCAAAAAAACTGTCGAGGTACACGGCTAAAAATTTACATAGGTATTGAAAATTATAAGAAAAAACAGTAAAAAAATTGTAAGTGGAAGCTAAAGGGGTGTCAGAAGCCGACAAAGTTGCGGAAAATATCGGAAAATTTACATTTCGAAGAGAACTTCTGACAATTCAAATTTATACTGTTTACGTACAGAGTAAAGTGTGCGCAAAGTGTCAGAAGTTAAAGTAGAAGCGATTACGAGTAAATCGAATGCGAAGTGCTAGAGCGTATTTCGGCGCGCACCGCACCACCGATCGTTTTTTTTTTAATTTACACACCGTACCTACTTCAGGGCATTGTTGACAACTTACCTAATTAATCTTGAAGGGTTTTAAAAACTAAAAATGAATTTTATTCTGATTGAATTTTGAAATAATTATTCTGTTTCGTAATCTGTATATTGTATATTTTCTTCAATTTCTGGATCTTCATCGCTATCATACTCGGACTCCTCGTCATCAACTGAAAATAATAAATATTTATAAAAACTGAATAAATGAAGATTGAAGATTTATTTATTTCAGTTATTGCATTACATTCTTTTCTCCATTGATACATTTCATACAAATAATATATAAAGTATAATTAATTTTCTAGTAGGAATGACATGAATGATCAGACAGTAATTCCTGGTATAAGATCATTCATGAAGTATTATCGACTGTTGTATAATTGAAATTACAAATAGTGAACAAAACTTACATATCATTAAGATACAGTCATATTACAGTGAACGAGAAGGGGAAAAATGAAAACAGTGAAAAACAAAAGAAAAAAGGAAATTCATGGTCTTTTAGCTTTGATCATTCCTTTGCATATAAATATACAGGCTGATTCACGGTGGATGGCACATTAGACGTTTCTGGTGAACCAGACAACGGATCATTTTGAAAATTCAATGGAGGGCATATTCAGACATTCTCTAGCCAACTAAAATATTTTCGAAATTTAATTGAAATAAATACAGGGTGGTGCAGAATTCAGAATCTTGATCACCCGGTATATGTCCCAATTAAATATCAGTAGATAGTTAATCAAAAGTTGAGATAGGGACATGTGAGCCGTTTTGACCAATGATGAATAGTTTCGACACAAAAAAATTCTAAAGTTGAAAAATGTCGATTTTTCACACCCTATATCTCTGTAATCATTTCCGCTAGACCCCAAGTGTAATACATCGATGAAATCAGCTCTTCAGGGAGAATCTAAAAATGCAATAAAATACAGAGTGTTCCATTTGAAAAATCAATGTTGCTACTTCTTTCTAATAGAAGCGGCAATACCGCATTGTCGAAAATATAGACTGTTGGCCCACGACACAGGGTTTATCGATGTTCTAAGTCAGTATGCCATTTAAGGGACCCACTCACTTAGTCCAAGTTAACAGGAAAGATTGCCTCGGAGAGTCGCAACCCAGTCCTTGCCCCGGCCCTGACCTCACCTTCCGGTTGGAAAAAAGTTCAAAATCTTGTTTAAGAAGAAGCTCGGCAATGAAGTGCAATGATCTTATCTCACGACAATTGGGGCGCTTGCTGGTTTGCATACGCCTAGGTCACTCCCCAAGGGAGGCATACGAACCGGAAGTGGCAATTTTTCAATGTTATAGTCGATGATCGAAGAATGTATGCCCTTTGGCGAAACAATGAATTCTGATTCGTTAATCAGTTTCTTGACATTTGCATACGATTCCAGAGAGGGAAGCTCGACTTATTCGAACATCAATTGACTAGACATCTTTCAAATAATCGATGATTCAAGTTCGTATGCAAATCTCTAGACCGATAAACTAGGATATTCTTTATAACTGGATGCTATTTGCATACGAATTCGATGTGAGCATACGTTGTAATAATCGGGCAAACCCGCGCGTGCCTCGGTCCGGCGCGGCGCCCCGCACTGCAGGCCAGAGGTGCACCGAAAGCGAACTAGATAATCGGGAAGTCTCATAATCTCACTTCACATGAAACCAGGTCAAAAATTATCTTCCTGGTAGTGATGAGGATATTCGAAGACGCCAATTGCAGATATATTTGTATTTATCCATCAGAAATTTACAGCTCAACAAAATTACATGTGTGAGAGGTTTAGTACCAAGAAATTTTTTTGTGTGATTTTAATTTGAAAAACAGGGCTTTGAAAAGATGATGAAAAAAATTTACAAGATACTCGCAAGATGATCAAGAGGGATCGTACAGGGAGAAGAGGGGTAGATTATTGCTCATGATCGAAACTCACAATAAATCGAATTGAAATTCTTCCTGGGGCTTATGGGTCTACTTATCATTATACTGGCGTCTGAGAAATATATAAAGAATGTTTATTTAGTTCGTTGAATGTTTTGGGTAAAGTATGGGGTCCTGAACTTTAATCTACATTTTTGTTTTTCACATAAAAAAAAATTATTTGAAAATGAAATTATATTAAATGAGAACAACATTTTATTTCAAAGGAGAAATTATACGTCGTCCTCTCTATCATTATCTTCAGAGTCATCTTCGCTCTCGCTGTCTGAAGATGATTCTCCAGAGTTGCCATCAGTACCTGTTAGTAAGTATATTATTTGATTATTGAAAAATCTTGGCATGATCGAAAGATATACCTGATACTTTCTCAGTTGAAGTCTCAGAGATTATGATATCACCAACCTCTGCTGAAAGAGCTTCACCAAGGTACCAATGGCAATCGTACCCAAAAAAAGTATCAAGGGCCCAGCCCCCTTCATTATTTTTCATGTAACTGTGACAATGACATAACTTCATCAAACCCAGTATAGTCATCGTCCACCAAATTAGAATATTGGTGGACGATGGTATAGTTGAGTTTAGCGATAAGATTCACACGCTGCACTTATATACAGGGTTACTGGTAATCCGATTCATACCACTGGTAGGGAATAAGGCAGTAAGAAGTGAATAAATATATAATATACATTATACAAAAGTAAATATGGTTTTCGAGATATTTAAATATCGGATCTCCGACAAAAGAAAAAAACATTATTGAATGCCTACTGAATCATTACGTGCTACACTCTACCCGGCTGCTGCAGCAAATCATTGTTCAGATATGAAAATTGTTTAAGCAAAAAAAGGAAATACTTTAAACCCGGGATTCATATTTCTGGCACAATTTGACAATTTGGCGCATGATTGCTGTAAGAGTGCTGCGTGTAAATGATATCGCTAGATGCTGTAGAGCTAGAGGTAAAGAATAGTGTTTCAGTAAAAAGAAATCAACAACTACCCAATAGTTTATTTGTTATGAACAACCTGTGCATTTTTTGATAACAATGAAAAATCTCTTAGGAAAATCATTTTAATTGGTTTTTGAAATTTTAAAATCGGTTCAGAAACAACTTAGTTACAATGGGAGATATTTATGATGAAACACCCTGTACGGTATGTGCAAATTGTATGCAAACCATTATCTCATATATACTGTGTGGTCCACTAACCATGGTCAAAATTTGAACATTTCTTCGATTATCGATTATTTGAAGAATATCCAGTCAAATGATGTTCGAATAAGTCGAGCTCCCCTCTCCGGAATCGTATGCAAATGTGGGGAAAATGTTTAATGGGTCCGAATTTATTGTTTCGCCAAAGGGCATACATTCTTCGATCATCGACTATAACACTGAAAAATTTCCACTTCCGGTTCATATGCCGCCCTTGGGGAGTGACCTAGGCGTATGCAAACCGGCAAGCGCCCCAATTCTCGTGAGATAAGATCATTGCACTTCATTGCCGAGCTTCTTCTTAAACAAAATTTTGAAATTTTTTCCAACCGAAAGGTGAGGTCAGGGCCGGGGCAAGGACTGGGTTGCGACTCTCCGAGGCACTTCTTATTGTTAACTCGGACTGAGTGAGTGGGTCCCTTAAATGGCATACCGACTTAGAACATCGATAAACCCTGTGTCACGGGCCAACAGTCTAATATTTTAGTTGGCTAGAGAATGTCCGAATATGCCCTCCATTGGATTTTCAAAATGATCCGTTGTCTGGTTCACCAGAAACGTCTAATGTGCCATCCACCGTGAGTCAGCCTGTATTTCTTAACTTTATTTTTGAATTGCATAATATTTGGGCTGTTTTTGATATCATCTGGTAATTTATTGAATTTCGAAATCGCCTCATGTGTAAACTTTTTTTGCCCAAGTTTAGAATTTGCAGCTTCAAGATGAAACAAGTTATATTGTCTAGTGTGATGATCATGAATTTCAGAATTCCTGATTAATATAAAATTTGATTTAAGCTTTTTGTTGATGATATAATAGGAAATTTTGAGAGTATTGATTAAAAAGTGCTCTTCCAAAGAAAATGTGTTTGTTTCCTTATACAGTTGATTCGTTGGAGTGTCATATGGAAGACGATACAATACTTTCAATGCCTTTTTATATAGAACAGAAATTTTGTTGAAACTATTTTTGGAACAAGATCCCCAAATATTTATGAGATAGTTAATTCGACTGAGTATATGTGAATAGAGAATGATATTTGATGTATATGTACTAAGTTTAGGACATCTTCTAAAAGCACCAATAATGGGAGATACTTTTCCTATGAGGATGTCAATATGCTTTCCCCATGTTAATTTCTCATCAATCCAAATACCAAGGTATTTGGTATGGGCAGTTTGTTTCAAACGTTCATTTTTTATTCTGATATTCAGATCAATATTTTGTTTATTTCTTTGACGAAAAATCATATATTGAGTCTTATTAGAATTGAGAGAAAGAAGATTGGAATAAAGCCATTTCTCAATTTTTTCCAAGTCCTCATTTATGATATGTTCTAGAACTACTGGGTTTTTATTCTCATATAGAAGCACTGTATCGTCTGCATATATGGTATAGTTTCCTATCAAATTCATTCTTTCAATATTTTGAATGTATAATAGATAAAGAATTGGACCCAACACTGATCCTTGAGGAACCCCTTTGTTTAAATATAGTATTTTAGACTCACAGTTATTAATTTTAGTTATAATATAATATATTATTAAGAGTCGTAAATTGAAAATTACCTTCCGGATCATGATTATCCAAAATGACATATTTTACTTATGGAGGCAACTGTGGCCCTTCAAACCACAGAAAGTCGTACTTGTTATCGATTTTACGGTCCATCCGGATGTTTGGGGCTCAAATTCGATCATATGTGTACCTCGACAGTTTTTTAATTGGAAAATTTAAGCGTTTGATCGCCAGCCCACGCACTTAGCTTCCAGCGCGCCTTCTGACGGTCGGGCTTTCGCTTTGCCAGCACCACTCGAACCTTTTCCAGGTAAAATTTTCCATGTACCGAGGCATGTCGCATTTCATGTAGCCAGCTCTCCGTCTTGATAAATACCTACTAGATGCGAGTGCCATTCCAGCGAATATCACATCAGAACAGTGAATTTAGGTTGATCACAATAGAGATGGGTATGTCCATGACCATGGTAGTAAAAATACACCTTACGCCTCGAGAAGAAGTGAATAATGGTGGGTTTTATAGCTAGTGGTGGAAAAAAAAATCTTCATCCACGACTGTTGTATAAAATAATTATAAAACATGAACTACCTCAAGCAAAACTATAGTCAATTTTCACACCAGTAATAATGGCGGTGAAATCATTATTCACTGATCTAGAATTCATAGGGTACGCGATATAACAACAAGTATCCTTTATATTCAGTTTTCTCAATGTCAAATGAGTTATGATAAAACAAAACGGATCTCTTGTTTGTATGACCCCTATCACCCCTTGAAGTCTGTTGGTATCTTTTCGGGACACCCTGTTCACTCTCATAAGTACACAAAAACAAAAAATATTCATAAGTAAAGAATACAAATTGAAAGTTACCTTTCCAGCACGATATCATCCATTCCTGGTTGTGTAGGCATAATTGAAATAAGTTTTGGATTAATTATAACATATCACATGTTCTATATGATTGCAAAAAAACCTACGAAACATAATTTTTGCACGCCCTGACCATTTGAAATTGTTTAATATATCCACAGTTCTAAACTCATGAAGACATCTACTTATAATTTGAGCATTTATGATGAAAATGGGAATGGGAAATGCGGTTTTCGTAATCGAATATTATGTTTCATCAATTTCTTTTACAGATATGATGATCCAAGATTATCATCAAATTGAATGATTTGAAGGGTTTGAAATTCAACCAATACATTATGACCTCTTTGTAGGTACGATGTTCGTTAGTTTCAGATTTTTTTTTCTGATTATATTTTCTACATGTCTCCCATGATCAGCGTCTAATACTCCGTTAGTAGTTTGCTCGATCAGGAATAAGAAAAAAAAACGAAAGAACATAGGTTAAGAAATTGCTCTCAATTAAGCTAAGCCTTCTAGAAGGAGCTCTCCTGAAGATGTCTCATTATTTCAATTGCCCAAATGGTTCGAGATGGAATAATGATATATCAGATGTATAATTTATCTCTCACGCTTTCCTAATGAGAAATGAATTCAGGATTTCTCTCCAGAAGTAAATTGAACAGGGTCTGCTCAGTGTACTTTCAGCTGTCACTCTTTGTAAGCAAACATTCCATTTTCACTATAGAGATCACGAAAATAATTTATGGATATGTGAAACTATTTTTGATGCGCTTTTGATTGAAGAAATTAAATCAGCACTAGAATAAACCAAAACAAATCAGTGTACCTATAATTTATATTGAATATCAAAGCAAATCTCCCATTTGTCGTCTTTTTATTTTTCCATATTATGCACTTGATTTGATATGATGTGGTGTCATGTTATTCCATATTTCATATTGAGATCTTTTTCACAATTTTCGATTCTGCATGATTTGTCAAATATACAAAAATTATTCAATCTCGAACCATTCCGAGAATGATGATGAAAAAGTACATCTACAGGAAAGCATTTTTTACAGACTGCATTTTCCTTAGGTGCCACTTCACGACTCATATTCATCAGAAGTATCATTCATATTTATAGTAAATAGTATGAAACTAGTCTGTCTGGTACACAACTGGTATGATAAACCAGTACAATGAGGAATCAATACATTTATTCGTATAATCATTGATTCCTTCCAAATATTGTTTGAAAAATATCCAGGAAAGATCATCTCTAGAGGTCCATTTTTCTCTGCAGCTGCCATAGAAGCCATTTTTCGATCCGTATTTTCGATTTTCAATTATAGAATTTGATACAGTTTGGCAAAATGATTTCAAGACAACCTTCATGCAAGAGTTTTCCTCATGACTCCTTCATGAAAGTGGAAAATGTTCACATGGTGTATTTCAGAATTTTAAAAATATAAACAAAATGTTATTGACCTGCCTTTATTCTGCTCTTCTATCAATTTTTCTTCCACCAATTTCATCATGACGAAGAAGATGGGAGGCATCACCCTTTGTCTTACTGTGAGTAACTCGACATTCGGATTGTTGATCCCTTTCACAACAATGGGATGTTTATCAACAGGATCCGTAACGTATTTCTTCAATTTCTTCATCTGCACTCTCGACCTCTCTAGATCATAAGCAATTTTTCTTTCTACCAGCTTCAACTTATCTTCGAATTCATTGTCGATGTATTCGGTGACTCTAGGGTCCAGCTCAAGGTTTTCTTTCTCAATAATCTGACTGGCTAGTAGCATCGAATTTTTCACCAGTACTTTGGAGTATCGTTCTCTCAATAGTTTTATGATGTTTCTGACTCCAGCCTTCGAACAACAAATGATATTATAATACACAACATTATGATCATTCCTAGCTGGATATTCCACTCAATATATATCGATAGTTATCAATATACTGATATATCGAACTTATCAATATTCAATATGTGAAATCCAATATCGCGCAGCCCTGCTCACTGACCATCTTTTCGAAGTTTTTTTTTATACACTGATACGTTGATTCTGCCTCTTATAATCGATAGTAGAATAATAATTGAATTAATCATTATCTTCATCATGTTTTGATCAGTCAACGGCGTACGAATAGAACACGGAGTCCGCGACCGATTGATGACGAAGTCAATGACGGCATCTGATGATTTTTTTTCCACGAACAAGTTCTGCACACCAGTCATTACTCGATAGAACAACCATGAGAAAGTTGCAAGACCGTGGGTCTACATCTTTTTTTATCTCAGTTCTTGAGTGTTATGAGATACTGATGAAGAACTATCGAGTCCTTGAGGCAGTGTATTGAAGAAAAAACTGCGAAAAGATAGTCAGTGAGCAGGGCTGCGCGATATTGGATTCCACATATCGAACATCGATAGGATCGATATATCGATATATCTATATTTTAGAAATTACACATCGTTTTTCGATATATCGATACATTTATTGATATAACGATATATTTTTCAGTACTAACGAACACTGACTGAATAATTTCATCAAATCGAGGTTCATGGAATCTTCAACCACACTAATTGAACCTTCATGAGAACTACCTACCTACGTGATATATTTCCAGGCCTATACGAAGGGTGACGCTTATATAACCGGAGTACTTATAGGAAATCAAAAATATTATAAAGATCGTCTGGATATTACGATAGTGTCTTGGGGTTCACAAAATTGAGATGAATTCATTCCTCTCAATATATTGGAGAAAAATTGATAGTTGTCGATATCGAGAATCATCGATAACTGTTGATACCTAAGTATCAATAATTATCGATAGATCAATAGTTAACGACATAACTATATATCGATAATAGTCAATATTGATCTATATTCATCGATATTATTCGATATACATCGATAATTACTAATATGTATCTATATTCATCGATATTTATCGGTATCTATCAATATTCATTAGCATTTATCGATAGTCAACCGTATTATCCGATATTCATCGATATTCATCGATATTCATCGATACATATCGATATTCATGGGTATATCCATATTTTTCAAATTATACATCATTATTTGATATATCGATACTTCGATATATCAATCGATATATCGATGTCTACCCACGCCAGTCTGTGAGTTACCTCAACATGAGTGTTTATAGAAAGGAATTCATGCATTCAATAACTATTGAGAAATATACAGGGTGATTCATTAGGAATGAGGAATCTCTGAACTACGGAACGTGAACATCAGATTAGGCCTGACATGTATTGAAACTCTTGCTAGTTTCTGAGATACAGGGTGTGAATATATTTTGATTTGGAATTTTCCAATAACCCTGTAAGTTTCAACAGCATGTACAGGGTAATTGTTTAAATTTCACTCAATAGCTTAACAGAAACTCTGAGATGGGCAAATATAAAATATTTTCATGAGTATCCAGAGTTCAGAACTAGGAAATGCAAAAAAGCATCGTGAAATCTGAAAATCAACTGGTATCTGCTAAATGATCAACCTTCATACTATTTCTTCAATCGGTAAAGTTCTTTCATACGATTTCAAATATGTATACTGTTTCGAAGTTATCATTGTCAGTGTTCAAGAAAAATAGACTTTCTCTTTCGATTCTAATGCAGCAGATAGGAGCATTGTCGTATGGCGTTCTACAGCTGCCTAAGAACTATATGAAATGAATATCAAGAAGAGTCATTTTTATATGGTATTATATGTTAGGCATGTTTTTGAAGAGATACTAATTTTATAGTATTATTTCTCATACTCACAAATGTCTATATGCAGAAATTCTACTCATTCCAAATTACCAGGGTTGGCTCAGTTTTCTCAACTTTTTGCCACGTAGAAATAATGAATTCAAATCAATTGCAAATTTCGATCAGAACGTTCGATGGCTCTGGTAGGTGGAAAGTTATGTTTTGATAAAAAAAATTTATCCACCTTCGCAACAATACTGCGTTCAGATGTGCTCTTTTTTTTAACCCTTCATAGGAATCACATGGAGATTCACATATACCAGTTCAAAACCATGGAGGATTGTGCGAACGAGGGCACATCCTAAGGTTTGTGCGAGCAAAGGCATGCTCAAAGGTTTATGCGAGCAAAGGCACTCTCAAAGGGCTGTGCGAGCAAAGGCATTCTTGAAGGGTTTCATACTTTTCAAGTTATAAGAACCGTCGTGGAAATGCTTTATGTATTCAACGCAAACAAACCTACTACAGCTTTGTATGGTATTTTGGACTAAGTGGCATGAATGTCTTTCCTCATCCTATATAGATCATTTGAAAGTTCTTCAATCACCTTGGTCGGGCTTTTGTACTTGGATAACAATTTCTCAGTCTGTCGATTGCCAGTAGATCAGCTATTTTTGTTAACACCATATCGCCTACCTTGAATGCATCATAATAACTTCTGTTCTCATTGAACGACCCATAACTCATAGACCGGAAGCGCACAACGTGTTTTTTGTGTCTCATTTGTTCTTATTCACCAATATAAGAACCCCCAAATTATACCTCCTACTACATGGATATGAGCTCGCCGGATAAAAATCGTGGAAAACGGGTGAGGGCCACGTGGGTGTAGTTATATTTGAAAACCTGGGGTCTCATATCATCACCCACAGTCTGGCGTAGGTCGCAAAATGCGGGAGACAAACAAATGATAACTTTCAACTGAATGATTGTTGACAAGAATACACAGTGCTACAGCGCATCGCCATCCTACACGTTAGGCGATGCCGCTTGCCAAATTTTTTTTTTCAATTACAGTAATTTGCGACATACGTCGGTAAGTAATGCTTCTAGACCTCGGGTTTTTTAACAACTTCACTCACGTGGTCCCCACCCTTTGGTCCACATTTTCGATTCGGCAAGCTCATATCCGTGTAGTGGAAGGTAGAATTCATGCATTTCTCATACTGCTGAGTGTGAACAAATGAGACACAGAAAAACAGGTTGTGGGCTCAAGGTCCATTAGGCAGGTAACATTATTTTTCACCACTTCTGATGTAAGGGGCAAGTAATGGGGCATATACAATCAATACAACACCACCTTCATTAACACCAACACCTTACAATCTTGTCACTCCACTGACTACAACTAACTAACCAATTACCGATCTCTTATCTTCAATCGTTCTGAATTCCGTGATTCATCATACTCGTTATCACTAACCACCATCAGCTCATGTTATACTGTGTGTTTAACAAATGTCTATCGGGGATTAGTTGACAGTGATTGAAATTCTGAAATTTGGTTCAATTCAACATAAGAATGCACTCATCCTCAAAATATCCAGCTCTAACGGTTTTTGTGTTATAAGCACTTGAAGATAGCTGCGATTTATTTATACAATTTGAATTTAATTCAATTATGAAGTTTGCCAAGTGACACTGAAGGAACAAGACAGAGAGATAATTGAGTGAATTGCTAAGGACAATTACTAATAACACCAACATCAAACAAACTTCCAAAGTGAATGTTCGAACAAAGTTGTTTCCCTTCAACACCTCGTATTAACATTTTCATGAGGCATGCCAAGGTAAATCTCTATATCTTGGTGTTTACTATCTGTAGTTCAGATATTGCCCATTCTTGATGAATCACTCTGTATATGTATAAATATTTTTCGAAAGCTCCGGCAGTTGATTGAGAGAGATTTACCTATTTGATGTGATTCTCAAAAGTGTGTGACTAGAGAAAGTATTTCCAGTGTCCCATTTGAAACTGTAGGAATTCGACAATAGTGGTTTGATAAATGGAGCAATGATCATTCTCCAGAGCGGCCACTTTTTTCTTAAGTGCGACTCCTAGGGAAAATATGTTCTGGAGCTTCATTCTGAACATTAGTTTTTCCTATATAGTATATAGTTTCCACAAAATTTGTCAATATCTCTCAATCTATTTCCATTCATCTATGATATTATATTAACTTATAGCTTGACCATTCCTGCTTCACCCTTGAGATATGCGCAAACGATAAACAGAAATGATGAGTGTGCGACGAAGATCCACTTCGTCTCTTTATTGGAAAGTGAAATCGTACTGTTTCAACCGATGTTCACTACTGCGCATTCAATCCTCAGAGGTCAAACTAGAAAGGTCAAGCTGTACTTGCCGTCAAATTTGTGAACACGGAAGTGTGTCTGGAATGAACTCTAAGAGATCATCAAGACGGCAAATGATGGTGACAGAGGCAACATGGATATATATAAATATGAAATAAGAAACTTAGTAGTGGGGAAGCAGCAAGTAAAAGTGAAACTCATGCAAGTTCGTCCAAGCTTTCGGAAAGTTATATTTCCATCATCAGGGCCAGACTACAAAATGTTATAACAATTATAAGCAAAGCTAGTTGACTAAGGGGTGCAGTACTTACAACTCATTGAGGTTGGTTACATTGATGTTACTAACAAGGTATGTATTAATAAAAAATGTTTGTATAACATATCTGGAACATGACAAATTCAAAAAATTAAAATTTTTGGTCAATATCAAAAACGTTGTTGATTTAAAATCATGATGAAACTTTTCTTTTCACAACGTGTGTCAGAATAAAAATCTTTGGTTAGGAAAACTGAACCTTATTCTTCCAATTCACCGGTGACATGGAGCTTAAGTGTGATGACCTTGGTCTTATGGTACCTAGTACTATTGTGTGTTAGTCACGAGAGTATTGGAAGGAGAAAGTTTGTAGATTTATTGAGTTACTGGTAAAACTGGTAAAATTCTTGTAGGCAATATGTGCATCACATCAAGATTAATAGAGAGTTGTTTTTATTGGTTATGTTGAGTTGTTATTATTTAACACCGTATTGGGGTTATCA